TACTTTTTTAAAATGTATTCTATTGTTGAGAGTATTACAAATGTCTCCCATTTTCCTTCCTTCTCCCCACTCCACCAATCTCCCACCCCATCCCAGGCCTTCACCTGTCTATTGTCTATGTCCATGGGCTAAGCATATATGCTTCATTTATTACTTTTTAATCTTTGATGTATTTGGTATGAATATGAATCCAATTATTTTCCAAATGGCTACCCAGTTATTACTAGTATGGACTAGTCTGTTCCTCCCCTCTCTCCCCCCCACCCTCCCCACCCCCCACAACTTATTTGAATGGCTAACTTTATTACATCCTAACTTTTACGTATACTTGAACTCCATATATATTTGGATTTTCTGTTCTATTCCATTGATCTAGTTTATCAGCCAATGACTCACTGACTTACTAAAGCCTTGTGATGTGCTGTAATATATTCCAGGACAGGTGCTTCCTTTGTCTTTGTTCTGGGTATTCTTACTTGCTTCTTTTTACATAAGAACATTTTTAAAGTCTCTTGGTATTTTTATTATAACTGTATTTGATTTATAAATTAATGTAGGGGGAAACTACATCTTATTGGGTTGTGACTAATGTGATGAACTAGAAAGAACATAGAATTTGGACTCAATCATACCTACAATCAAATGCCGGCTCTGCTTCCCTGATAGACCCAATACTTAACACAATTTCCTCATCTGTAAAATGGAGAGAAGAATAGATAACATGCAGTTTATGTTGAACATAAAGTAAGATAATCTATGTAATGAGCAAGCATATTGGTGAATAAGAGATTTTTAAAAATGACTTCCCTTCCCCCACTCTTTTAACTCCCTCCTTTATCAAGAACTTATACACTAGAATAGGGAATAAAGTGAGAACACACACATACACACTACAGGGGGTGGGAGAAGGGTGCCTAGGACTGTGTTAAGAACATTGGATTTAGAGCCAGACAGAACTGGATTCTAACCCCAGGCTGGCCAAGGTCTGAACAAGTCACCATGGCATGTAATCCAAATCACTAAGTCTTAGTTTCCTTGTCCGTAAGATGGAATAATAATACTATTTCATACAGTTAGGAAAGAAAGAGAAATACACATGAAGCACCTAGGGTACCCCCAATGCAGCAGTGGTACTCCCAGTGTCCTTGCTCCTGCCTGAGAGCTACACAGTTGACAGCTGATATAGGATTACCTCCTGGCTGCCAAAAATTCTCCCCTTCAGTCAGACCTCCTCCCACGGAATGGAGAATTCCAGCTCTCTGCTTAGGAAACACAACACAAAGCCCCATCCCACTCTACTTTCTTCCTGACCTCTAATCCTCCCAGCCATGTGGAATCCTCACTGAAGTACTTAATCATGTGCTGTCATAAAAGGTTACTCAACATGTCGGTGTGCTATGATCCACTCACCAAAGCACCCTGTCTCTTGCTATTCTTTTATTTCTAAAAGCATCACTCAATAAATTGAACCCAATGTCAGCAAGAAATTTAATGCTCTAAATCATGTAATTTTAGGGTTGGAATGTTTTTTTCTTAATTAATTTTTTATAACAGTATAGTTGCTATACAATCTTATTAATTTTTTAAAATATATTTTATTGATTTTTTACAGAGAGGGAGAGAGAGAGATAGAGAGCTAGAAACATCGATGAGAGAGAAACATCGATGAGAGAGAAACATTGGTCAGCTGCCTCCTGCACACCCCCCACTGGGTATGTGCCCGCAACCAAGGTACATGCCCTTGACTGGAATCAAACCTGGGACCTTTCAGTCCGCAGGCCGATGCTCTATCCACTGAGCCAAACTGGTTACAGCACTATACAATCTTATATTGGTTAAATTTGTGTTAGGTGTACAATATAGCGATTCAACATTTTTATAGCTTACGATGTGATCACTGTACTAATTCTAGTAATCATTTGTCACTGTGTAAATTTATCAGAATATTACTTACTATATTCCCCTTCCCCTTTTCACTCATCCCCTAACCCACTCCCTTCCAGTAACCATCACTTTGGTTTCTATTTCTATGAGTCTGTTTTGTTTGTCTGCTTTGTTTTGTTTTTAGATTCCATATATAAGTGAAACCATATGGTATTTGTCTTCCTCTGCCTGATTTATTTCACTTAGCACAAATACCCTCTACATTCATCCATATTGTCATAAATGGCAAGATTTCATTTTTTATTAATGCAAAATATTCCATTGTATATATGTACCACATCTTTCTTATCCTTTCATCTATCAATGGTCACCTAAATTGCTTCTATGTCTTGCATATTATAAACAACGCTTCAATGAACATAAGGGTACATATATCTCTTTGAATCAGTGTTCTTATTTTTTAAAATAAATACTCAGAAGTGGAATTAGAAATTTATTGAATGGTGTGATATGTGAGTCCCCTCGAATACAGTTGATTAATCTGTTTGAAAAACTCCACCAAAAGATTCTACTTCTCACCACAGCATGTCCCCACTGGAATATTTCCTCTGCCCCAGGGCCTTTGCATGGCTCTTCTTGATCCCTGGAACACTCTTCCCCACTTCCTCTCTTTACCTTTTTTAATCCTACTCCTATGATACTTAAAAATTTCAGATCACTCATCTCTTCTACTAAGAAGCCTTCCCTGACCCCACAGGCTAGATCAGTATCCCCCTAAAATGAATCCCCCACTATACCTGCCCACTCTTTTTTTTACTATACTTAATCACAGTTAGTACTTATTCACATTTGTCTTCAAATTCACCATTTGAAAAATAAACATATTTATCAGCCACTAGATTACAAAATTCATAAAACCAAAAGCAACTCTATTTGTGCACATCATATCACCAGTACCTGAGTCTGCACCTGGCCCATCATTGCTTTTTAATAAATGTTTGTTGAAACAACTAGTTAGTGGATTAAACAAAGACTAAGTGCCTCCTAGTAAGGCTATACTTTTATACTATCTGCATCCTGGTATCCCTGCCTCAGCTCAATCACAAAGTGAGTTTCCATCTCTTTCCACCCTGTCCTAATATCTTACCTGGATGGTAGACAACCTGCAACTAAACATGGCCCATTTGCTCTGCTATTGGAGAGGAATCTCTCCTTCCCTTTTCTTCCAGGCAAGCGGTCTACCCACTCCCACGCCCACCTCACCCAGAAACACACAGCGGATTTATAAGTCGCTTATCTATAATGTAAATACTTTCTCTACATGTAAGTGTAATGTGTTTTACAATGATAAACCCAGAGTTCTATAGAAGGCTAAGAATTTCGGATCTATTGCCTTTAGACCCATTGCCTTAGGAACAATCCTCGCCCTTCCTCTGCTCTGTACCACAGCGTGGGCTCACCTCCACAGCCTGTAGCTCACAGGCGAGGTACAGATGAGACTAGAGGACAAGAGGAAGGGGCAGCCAGAGCATTCTCTACCCCTTTCTCTAGGCTCAGGGGCTGTATTATTTCCATAGCTGCACATCCCATGTGACAGGCCTGCAGGGGTCAAGCTTGCCCTGGTGACCGCTGCCTCTGAGCTCCAGAAAAACTCACCTCCTTTGGTCCTTGTAAACAGGAAGAGGTAGGGCAGTAATGGCGAACCTACGACACGTGTGTCAGGTGATACGCGAACTCATTTTTTTGGTTGCTTTTTCTTTGTTAAATGGCATTTAAATATATAAAATAAATATCAAAAATATAAGTCTTTGTTTTACTATGGTTGCAAATATCAAAAAAATTTCTATATGTGACATGGCATCAGAGTTAAGTTAGGGTTTTTCAAAATGCTGACACGCCGAGCTCAAAAGGTTCGCCATCACTGAGGTAGGGCTTCCTGCTGCTGCAAATCTTAGGGTTGCCTTACATGTCTTTGCTGACTTCTTTTCTATCACCTGTATGACCAATTCCCTACATTACCAGTTGCTCAAACTGGTCATTATTTTCCCATCTGGCCTGATACAAGTAAAAGATAACAATAGAAAACTAGAGCAACTATTCTGTATATTGGTAGTTCACTTTTTCTATGGGTACTTTTAATTCCCATCTTGCATTATGAATTCTCTGTATTATTGCACCAACTCCCAAAGCACTTTCTACATATTAAAACTTCCATAAATATTTGCTGAATGAATGAATGAATGAATGAATTGAACCATGGGAGCTATAATATCTTAACTGTTTAAAGCTTTTATGTATATTAGAAAGTTGTTACACATTAATTACAATCAGTTGATAAGTTCCTCAATAACATACAAATCTGGAAGTAATGTAATTAATTCAAAATTACATAAGCAATCAAGGTGTGCTTACTTTTCCATCAATCAAGGAGTAATTACTTAGCCCTAAGAAAGCTCAAAAGGGGTTTGTATAGCCTTTAATGGGGCTTGCATAGCATATGACAACTCATGAATCAGAATAGCATTGTCAAAAGCACTAGACAATTAAGGCTGCTTAAATATCAAGCATGAAAGGTCTGTTACTTCTCAGATATTGTTATAATTTTCCTTACAGAATTTCTTTTCTTTCTTTTTTTTAGGGTTGGCAAAGCCAGCTTGGTAAAAAAAACAAACCCACTTGATTTGGCTTTTAGTTGGGGGGCATGAGAAAGAGGCAGTCCCCCAGGCAGTAAACCCCCACCCCAAGCGTGAGCTGAGGACTGGGACTGAGCCTCAGGCTGGGCTTCCTGTGCTCGCTGCTCCCCTGCACAGCTCCTTTCCCAAGGCCTGGAGGACAGGAGGGCCCACAGTAGTCATTCACTTGGGGAGGACATCAGATGATTCAGACACCAGCTTCCCATCTTGGCTCTCAATCTTGGGTCTCAATCTTCTTCGCAACCACCGTCTTGGAGGAGTTGGTGCAATTGAAGGAGCAAGAGCTCCCACCAGAGCCCAGGTTGGCCTGAAAGCTCAGGCCATAGTTGAGGTTCCCATAAAATGGGTTCATCAGCCCATTTGAGTAGCCAAGGGTGGCACTGGCGTGGATACTGATGTTCTGCATCCCAGATTCCAGCCAGTTCTCCCTCCAGAGGCTTGCAGTAGATGGTGATCTCCACATCCAGGGCCAACTTGACAGTCATGAGCTTCTGGTACTTGCACAGCTGCCGCCTTACAGAATTTCTTGAAGAGATCTTCTATTTGGGTGAAATTTTACACACACACACACACACACACACACACACACACACACAGCATCAACAGCACAATTATAACAAAAAACAACAACAACACAAATAGATAGATAGGTAGATAGATAGATAAACATATAAATGTGTAGTTTGAGATAAGAGGCGGAAGAGAAAGGTTAAATACTGCCTTAACTTAACCTGTGTCCCCTTGCAAAGCAGAAGTGAGAGGAGAACTTAAATGCAAGTAATTTGCTTAAGAGGTTATGCCCCCCAAAACCCACATGTTGGAGTCCTAATCAGAATGTGGCTGCATTTGGAGATAGGGCCTTTAAGGAGGTGATAAGGTTATATGAGGTTATTAGTGTAGGCTCTATTTCAATTTTGCTGGTCTCCCAATGAGAAAAGACTCGAACAAAGACATGTACAGAGGGAAAACCACATGAAGACAGAGGGAGAAAACAGCTATCTACAAGCCAGGGAGAGAGACCTCAGAAGAAATTAAGGCGAATGACACATTATTCTTGGACTTCTAGCCTCCAGAACTATGAGAAAATAAATTTTTAAAAAAATATATTTTATTGATTTTTTCGCAGAGAGAAAGAGAGAGTTAGAAACATTGATGAGAGAAAAACATCAATCAGCTGCCTCATGCACACCCCCTACTGGAGATGTGCCCACAACCAAGGTACATGCCCTTGACCGAAATTGAACCCAAGACCCTTCAGTTCACAGGCTGACTCTCTATCCACTGAGCCAAATAGATTAGGGCAGTGGTCAGCAAACTGTGGCCCCTTGAGTGTGGCTCTTCCACAAAATACCATGTGTGGGCACACACGTACAGTGCAATTGAAACTTTGTGGCCACATTGAAGGGGCCAAAGAGCCACATGTGGCACATGAGCCGCAGTTTGCCGACCAAGGGGTTAGGGCAAGAAAATAAAATTTTGCTGTTTAAGCCACTCAGCCTGTGATATTTCTCTTGGCTTCCCTAGGGAACTACTACAGAGGAAATCCTAGGGAGCATGAGTGAGATTCAGGAGTAGGTGAGGGAATGTAGAAAGAGCAGTGTATATTCCCCATTCCAGCATCTATTTCTTATATTACCTGGGTTTAGATCTTTTTGTCATCATACAGTCATTCATTCAACAAACATTTATTGAAACGTCAACCAAGTACCAGGCACTGTGCCTGACCTTACAGGTATAGCAGAATAAAAAGGCAACCCTTGTTCTCATGGTTGGGAACTTAGCTACAAGATCCAGCTAGTGATCCTGAAGGCTCTGCTCTCAGGCACAGCTAGGTAGCAGCATGCCTCTTACATCACACCACAGGACTCACTGGCCCAGAATCTCTGGCACCTCATCAACAGCCTGGCTGTGTGCTTCCCTTCCAGAATCCTCAGGCATCCCATCTATTTAAATTTCTTCAGCATTATTTTTTCCAGGATCTTCATGAATATAATTTTTAAAACCTAAATTATGTGTTACCATAAACAATAGCAATGCCCCCACACCGGTTAATTTTAACAGCATCTAGGAGCAGCAGGAACATGCTGCCATTTTCACTGTTCAGTATTGTGTCTGTGCATTAAGGATCAAACTTTTAGATTATTTCTAACCAGAAATAATTACTCCAAAGTGGGCAGGAGAGTAGGTAATATGGCATCAGTCATTTCTGATATTGCTGATAGCAATTACTAGTAAGAAGGTTCTGTAGCCCTCAGAAAAGGCCACTGGCATAAGATTGTTAATGCCAGAAAGGTGAGATTCTACACGTCCTGGCTTAGCCCAGCCCTGGGTTTAACAGATGAAAAAAATTGTGGCAATGTAGCATAGTAGAAAGAGCCTGGATACACAGTCGCACGGATCTGGGTCCAAATACCTACTCAGCCACTAATCCCCTGTGTGACATTGACCAAGTCACTTCACCTCTCTGAGCCAATGTGTTCATCTGTAAAATAGATCCCCTAGCTCCAAGGGTTACCATCATTTTTGCCAAGAGTTCTTTTCTACCTGGGCCATGTGAACTAAATGGTAATCCCACCCCCCAGCACTCCCTAACATTCTTCCCTGCTTTTATTTTTATCCTCAGCGCTCAATACATCTGAAACTCCATATAGATCTCCATCTTTATTTCTCTTTTCATTTACTGTACATGTTGCCGCCACTAGAATATAAAATCCAAAAGGGCAGGATTCTTGACTATTTCATTGATTGCTGAATCCCTAGCACACAGTGGGAATTCAAAGAGTATTTGTTGAATAATTCAGTTCATGAATGAATGGATAAAACATTAAAAGACAGCCGTTAAAAGTTAGCTGAATGATGCAACGGACCACAAGTCTAGGTTAAATAGCTGGCAGAATGATACCAGTACCAAATGGAGATGCTACCAACAAGCTGTGGCATTTTCTCATGAGGAAAACTAAGATTTGGCTGATACTTGACCACAAAGTGCTTTTTTAACAATAGCATCAATTATTCTGGGCGAGTATCTTCTCCATGGCATCCTAAATTTCTCACAAGTACCCAGCTGGTTGACAGACAGCCCTACTTAATAACAACCTCTGACCCTTAAAGAGCTGTTTCCTTTGCTCAAAGCACTTTCGGATACACATTCTATTAAGGCTCCATATTTTTGCAGCAAAAGGCTCTTCCCACCACTTTTATCTTGTGTGTGAGTAAGGACACAAAGATTACAGCAGAGCACGTCTTAAAGAGGAACCAGGCCAGCAAATGAGAGAAAATGTGCAAGAGTGGGTTGGGAATAAACCAAAAAAATATATAATAACATTTGTTACTGTTAATATCACCTCACTTTTAACCCTCGGACTGAAGTGCTCTGGGATACAGCACAGGTCACACAGAGATGGCACAGCAAGGGAAGAAGAAGACACTTCCTAGCCACATGCACTGGCTAACTGAAGGCTGGCAGTCAATGGGGTCACAGAAGTTATGGGCAAATGGTCCTCAAAACCCAACAGGAGTTGAGCAAGTGTTTCTCCAGTGAACAGATGAGTAGATGAATGAATGAAATATTTATCGTGTCTTCATCCATACATAGTCATTAAGCGCCTCCATTGTGCCAGGTTCTATGGTAGGCATCAGAGGTACAAAGATGAATGAGACATGTAGAGGGCTTGGGCTGCATCAGTAACTGTCAAACATTTTTTAGACTTGGAATCTCCTTCAAAAGAACAAAAGCTCAATATGAAAAACAGTTTAAAGGTGAGCTCCTCCAAACTGAAAGGTTTTTGTGTGGAAGGGTAGGGAAGGGGAAGCCAAAAGGGGCCTTTGCACCTGTGGGTGTCTTAGGAAGCTCCATGGCTCCCCAGAGCATGTTTGAAAGCATTGACCCAGATGACCATTCAGGTGCCTCTATGACAGAGGTGCCAATATTCTACTGGTTGTACACCAAGCCCAATATAAGAGAGAAGGGCCCTAAGGGGTCAAAGACAAAGAGAGAAGGGTTCGGAACCCAAAAGTGTCCTCCACTGAGGGTGCTGCTATAGGCTTCCCTGGCAATCAGGGGTTTGGGAAAGCTAAGGCTTTGAGGTAGGAGACTGTCATGGACATTAGTTGTTTATATTGGCTATTCAGCATGCATCTTGTTGAACAGGAAAAAATTTCTTTTTTCTTATGGAGGCAGAAATGTTAGATACTTGCACAGGTATGAACCCAGATCTCTTCTCTTCCCTTCTCTCCTCTTCCCTTCCCTTCCCTTCCTTTCCCTTCCCTTTTCCTCTCTTGCCTCACCTTCCCATCACTTCCCTCCTCTCTTATTCCCTCCCCTCCCTTCCATCCCCTTTCCAAAACTCCTTTCCTCCCCTCTCCTTCCTTTGCCTCTCCTTGGTGGCATTTTAGTGTCTGAGGTTGCAAGGTCAGATCTTGAAACAGACACAGTGTTGGGGCTCACATAGCACTTTCCTCATTAGACCACTGAAAGCTTCCCCCCAAGCCTCCTCTGCAGCCTCCAACATTTCTGTTGACACAGGCTACTGAATGGGAGGAAGGTCAAGTGGGAGACTGGGAGGCAGGCACACTTCTCCATCAGAAGCTCACCTCAAGTCAAGCCAGAAAAGTGCCTAAAATGGGACTGCAAAAGGAAGAAGTCTGAAGAGTTTCCAATCATATCATCTTGAGATAGTTCTGAATTCTTTCTCTTTCAATATACAGCTTTTAAAAAACTCAAAGACTTTCTACCCGTGAGCCTATGTGTTTATATTTTGGGAAATGTCAGCCAAATCCAGCGGTTTCTTCCTGCTTAGGACTTTGAGTGATCTGCATCAAATGCTCTGAGAAGTCATTTTTCCTTTAAAGAACTCCTTAAAGAGGAATCCAGGTGGACTTTAGCCTGATAGCCAAATTGTTGACAAAGCACCAGAGTTTCTGATATTTCCTGGACACCAGTCCATATTGCTTTAACAGGATTTCATTCCATTGAACTTGATATTCCCTCCAAAACCATTAATCCAGTCTCAGGTACTTCTGTTGGTCAGAATTGACTTGGCAGCTGTACTTAGAGAGGTCCAGAGAGAGAGAGAAATATTCTCCTGTGTTAATTAAATGATGGTGACCAGGAAATAAAGTCCTACTTTGGGATTTAGAAGTTAGGAAACAGGGGTTCCAATGCTGAACTTGCCAACTCTCAGTTTGTGAACTTGATGTTCCCTATCTAGGAAATGGAAAATATACTTCATGGGATTTTTGTGGAGACAAAATAAAAATATATATGATTATTTGATATAAATAAGGATTTATATTATAAATATATCATCCAATAAAAGTTAGTTTCTATTGCTATTTCTTTGCTGCTGTTGTTGCTATAGAGTCAGAAGCAAGGGTGACCAGGGATGCTAGTGAAGGAAGACATGAGGATGGAAAATAAGAGCTGAGATGATGGGAAAGAAAGAGAACTTTGGAGTCAGGAGTTTCTGTTTCCCACCAGCCATGTGATTGTAGACAATCTATTTTAGCTTTCTGAAACTCCATTTTCTTATCTGTAGCATAGGGATACATTTGCAGGGATTAAATAATATGATTAATGTAAAAGCTCTGAGTATAATGCCTAGTTCATCAGTGTTAATATCCTTTCATTTTCTCCTCTTAGTAAGAAAGAGGGAGAAGCTTTTAAACTTTCAGAGATGTAAACCAAGGGTCAGCAAATACAGCCAGCAGGCCTAATGAGCCCACTGCCTGTTTTTATAAATAAGGTTTTATTGGAATACAATCATGTCCATTGTTTACTACTGTCTATGACTTTTATTTCAGAGAACATATGGCCCACAAAGCCTAAAATATTTGCTATCTGGAACTTTACAGAAAATGTCTGCTGACCTCCTATCTAAGCTATCCAAGTCCAGACTCCATATTTAGAGCTTTGGGTCAGAGTTCCATTGTTCTATGTAATCTGGCCATTTCCCATTTGTATATTCAGTCCCTCTGTCCCCTTTTTGATCATTCTTTCATTTACAGGAGGTTGACCAATTCAAGGAAGACCAGAGATTCAGATTGCCCCAGAATTGCCCAGTTGTTTCCACAGTCAATTGGACCAAAAGATCTTTTTGACCTTTTTACTGTCATGTTATCATGGTGACCATTTGATAAGGGAGCTGCTGTACAGAAGCATTTACAACTTTGTATAGAACATAATGGGCCAGTAAAACAACCACTAAGACAAAAGCAAGGGCAACTAATAGTCCCTTTAAGATTATTGGTATGAGGAATACCAATTAACCAATTCAGGAAAAGAGAACAAATCCTGTAGGCTATGAGAACTGGCCTTAGAGGATTAAGTCACCTTTTCTTAATGGTTAAGTATAGCCTGCTCTATAATGCCCACTTCAATGATCTAAGTAAACAAGGACTATTAGCAATGACACAAACACTACAATGACTAAGAGCCAACCAAAAATTTTGAGCAATGCAATTGTCCATACTACTCATACCAACAAGTTGAGACTGATCTGTTATCTACCTAGGGCAAGAGTGGTACCATTAACAACTTATTGTAGAATTAATTATATATTTCTTGCAGTCTTTTTTATTCCATTGGAAACATGGCCCACAGTATTCACATAAATAATAAGTAATTCCCAAGGAAGAGATTGATCAAAGGTGGCGCAGTTTAATGTAGAAAGAGTGACAAGAAAAGAAAAAAGAAAAAGGAAGAGTGGCATATATATCTACCAAGAATTGGTGAGGGTGGCCATTTATATTTATAGTTAATTTACTAAAGCAGACTACTGTGAAGTACTTTCATTGATCTGAACTGAGAAATTATTCCTTGTTTTCTTTTTTCTTTTCCAAAATAGGAAAATATTTTTCCCATTGTTACCTTCTGTTTACAAATTCTACAGGTATCCTTGTCAGTAAGTGCTCTGTTAGGAAGTGGGCCACCCAATTGTTTCAGCTGCAGGTCCATATATTTATTTGGAGTCCTGTCTCATTTTTTCTCTAGGGCCCTTTCAAAATGTTGCACCAAGTGTTATAGTTCAGGTAAAGGAGTGTTTTCCATTCTAACTTCTATTTTATTATTAAGTCTCCAATTAAAGAGCTGCTATTATGTCTGTGCTCACAAATGTTGTCAGAAGTTATTTTCAGATCTATCCCAAAACCTCCTACAGTGTCATATTTTCTCTGTTTGCAGAGTTAAATTATTATCCAACCAGTTTTAGTGGAAATATTTAAGGTTTCGTTTTTAGGAGACTTTCTAGGTGTTTCTTTGACCTTCAGGTTTATTGTGGAAAAAGAGATCCTATAGGTCCCTTTCTGAATCAGTCCAATCCCTTTTGCCATGCAGGATTTAGCATCTAAAGTTCCAACCAAAATGTGTAAAAGTTGATATGCCGGGTAACCCTGGGTTGTATGCGCTCAAAACAATTCTAAATTTTTCTATGAATAGTTGCTGGTCATTCCCTAAGGGTTTAGGGAAATCCTTAATTATAATTTTTAATTCAGGTTGGGTTCATGGTTTCAATTATACTATAGCTTTCATATCTGGCAAGATATATATTTACAGGTAACTGACATATTGAGGTCTTCAAGAGAGTCTTTTAGGAAAATATAGGACATCTTGTCAAGGTAAAAAGTATCAACACAGGGGCAGAAGGAGACAAATCAGAAGAATAGAGCTATATTTAGGGGGTAACTAGAGGACAAGGAAGGAAATGATTTACTAGGGAAAGGGAGTATTCTGGTACTTTAAGTTTGTCAAATTACTCATAACTTTGGCCAAAACATCTTTTAATAAGTAGCTTTTTAATCAGAATTTTGTCTGAAGGCCTTTGTACATCAGTCAAAAAAAAAAACAAAACAAAACAAATGCTACCCGTTGGGCCTTAGAAATATTAATTCCTTTTATATTTCAAGTATCTCTCAAATGAACAATTTTGTTCAACTTCAAATATTCCTCACAGTGGCCAGTGAAAGCCCAAATTATCTTGCTGAAATTATGGTACTTAGGTAAGTGAATAAATTAGGATTGTAATAAGAGTACATGCAAGATGGAGTTTTGTGTTTTTTTTTTGTGAGGCTTGGAGAAGATGCAAACTTGAACAACGTTGGGCCTTAGAAATATTAATTCCTTTTATATTTCAAGTATCTCTCAAATGAACAATTTTGTTCAACTTCAAATATTCCTCACAGTGGCCAGTGAAAGCCCAAATTATCTTGCTGAAATTATGGTACTTAGGTAAGTGAATAAATTAGGATTGTAATAAGAGTACATGCAAGATGGAGTTTTGTGTTTTTTTTTTGTGAGGCTTGGAGAAGATGCAAACTTGAACAACCCCATGAGAGCCGGCAATAGTCCGTCGAAAGCAATGCTTGTGCATTGTGTGTCTCAGGACCCTAATCTGACAGTTTGCTGTCTCTAAATGCAGGCAGCAACCACTCCGCTCACCCTCAGAAGGCAGAAAAACAAACAAACTGAGAAAAGCTAAGTGCTTAGGACAAAATATCTAGATGCAAGGAGAACTTTACCCTATTTTATTGGTGACCCACAACAAAGGCTGTATGGATGTTGGTCTGGTGAGAGCCACAAATTCACCATTCTGAGCATAGCTCACACAGCAGGCTTACAGGGCCTATGTAAAGACAGAGGAAAACAAGTAAAGGGGATGGAAGAAATGGCCTGATTTCACAAAGGATGCCAAGCAATTAGGAACTAGTAACAAAATCCGGTTACTAAATCAAGAATAGATGCTAAGAATCTCAACACGGGAGTGTGGAGTTCAGACCCAGTGCTCACTTACCTTGTAGGTACTGGCTCTTGATGCTGTAAAGCAGTGAGGAAAAGGAGCCACTCGGTGCCACCCCTGGGTGTAGGCTGGGATCCATGGTTGTGGGCAGTGCAAACCATACCTCAGAGGAACCTCCCGAAAAGCTGTGGGAATAAACAAGACTGCCCAAATGAGAGTGTGCAGAAGCTACTTATTCAGAGCTTGCTATAGCAAGGAATTAGTCATCATCACATTTGGTAGAGACTCGCAAGCAGGCAGGTGGTGGGAAATCTTTTTAGTGGGAAACACAGGCTTCAGATGTACTTTATTGGAGATTATTGGCATGAGGGAGTTGGAACCAGGTTAGAGAAGCCTCTTGTGTGACTGGTTTGTATTTGGCTTTCTCTGGTTGGTCCCGAGTTGGAAGTGGGGGCACAGCAGGGGGAATTTGGCAGTCATTGACCAAGTCCTGGGAAGACTGCTGCAGAGGTGTAGTTTGACTCCCAGGTTGCTTGCTGCAGAGGTTGTGGGTTTGAGTTCTATTGTCATATGTGGTCTGGCCATTGTTTATATATTCAGTCTCTCAGTCTTTTAAATTTTCTAGTTCATTTTCCTCTAATTGTCCCTGCTCTTTGTGTTTATAAACGCAAAATGTTGGCACAATCTAAATATCTAACACTAGGGGATTATTGGTGGCTGTTTGACTTACACCATCCAATCACTAATGTTGGACATTTAGAATTCCTGGCATCAGTTCCACGTGAAGAGGGGGATGAGATTCTGTGGGCTCTTAAATAGGCTGGCTCCTGGTTCAGTAAATTCTAGCCCCCAACACACTGGGGCTTCAGCAACACAGGGCAGTTGAAAGGCAATGAAGATACAAATTAGCTTTATGGGGATAGAAAATAATAAGTGATCATAATAGCTGGTATTTTGATTTATTCAATCTTTACAACTTCTCTAAGAATGCAGCTTCAGCTCCATTTTACAGATGAGGAAGCTGAAACAGAGAGGTTAATTTACCTTAGAGACACAACAAGTAAGTGCAAAGCAGGATTCTATCCCAGGCTGGCTACACTCTTGACAGCCAGGTTTTTAGATAACTTAACTAGGAAAAACTATTCCTGAGAGCAGCCAGAGCTGGGTCTGCAATGGTTAAGAGAACTGGATGTGGAGTCATCCAACCTGAGCTCAAATCCCAGCTCTAGCTTGTACTGGCAGTATGACTTTTAACAAGTTCATTAACGATCTAAAGTCTGAGTTCCTCATCTGCAAAATGGGGAGCATATAAGCAGAGCCAGATGGAATCTATTAGACCTTCCAAGCAGCTATCTATGATTCATCATCATATCACTGAAAATGAAATGCAGTAGGAGAAAAGAAGTATTTTCCAGAACTTCTTTCACAAAGAGTAGACTATGTTGCTAGAAGAAATATTTTAATCAATTGCTGGAAGTTGTGGAGGGGCAATATTAAGTAACAATAAATAGTTGCTAAACCACTTTCTAAGGACAGGTGTGTCTGGTTAACATGAGGACTTTGGTTTGCAGAGCACTTCATGAAATTGTGGGCCAGAGTTTAACTCTCCTGTAAAATAGAAAACTGGCTGACGCAACCAATAGCAATTCCCTTTATCCACTTCCACGCTACCCTCAACCTCTCTATAAATTCTAGAGATTTAAAGATGAGCAACTTGAAAGGGCACAAACTAGTCAGCTGCCTTGATGCCTGTGTGCCATGTTCTGGCCCAGCTAAGGTTTAACTTGCAGAAATGCTGAAAACATTAGATGCAATTAAGTGGAATCATGCAATTGCCAATATTTAACTGTTTTGACCTATCGAAATGATAATTTGGTGTGGTTTAATGTACTATAAAGTATTGAGAATACTTTAACCCAAGACCTGACCCAAAGTAATTCCTTGGAAAATGATAACTAGTCTTATTGTCAATTACAAAGAAG